TAGGTCCTTTTCTGCAGAACTGCTGCCTAGCCATTCGGTCCCTAGTCTGCAGCGGTGCATGGGATTCTTCCGTCCTAAGTGTAGGACTCTGCACTTGTCCTTGTTGAACCTCATCAGATTTCTTTTGGCCCAATTCTCTAATATGTCTAGGGCCCTCTGTATCCTAACCCTACCCTCCAGCGTATCTACCGCTCCTCTCAGTTTAGTGTCATCTGCAAACTTGCTGAGGGTGCAATCCACACCATTCTCCAGATCGTTTATGAAGATATTGAACAAAACTGGCCCCAGGACCGACCCTTGGGGCACTCCACTTGATACCGGCTGCCAACTAGACATGGAGCCATTGATCACTACCCGTTGAGCCCGACAATCTAGCCAACTTTTTATCCACCTTATAGTCCATTCATCCAGCCCATACTTCTTTAACTTGCTGGCAAGAATACTGTGGGAGACCGTGTCAAAAGCTTTGCTGAAGTCAAGGAACAACACGTCCACCGCTTTCCCCTCATCCACAGAGCCAGTTATCTCGTCATAGAAGGCAATTAGATTAGTCAGGCAGGACTTGCCCTTGGTGAATCCATGCTGACTGTTTCTTATCACTTTCCTCTTCTTTAAGTGCTTCAGAATTGATTCCTTGAGGACCTGCTCCATGATTTTTCCAGGGACTGAGGTGAGGCTGACTGGCCTGTAGTTCCCAGGATCCTCCTTCTTCCCTTTTTTAAAGATGGGCACTACATTAGCCTTTTTCCAGTCGTCCGGGACTTCCCCGGATCACCATGAGTTTTCAAAGATAATGGCCAATGGCTCTGCAATCACATTCGCCAACTCCTTCAGCACTCTCGGATGCAACGCATCCGGCCCCATGGACTTGTGCTCGTCCAGCTTTTCTAAATAGTCCCGAACCACTTCTTTCTCCACAGAGGGCTGGTCACCTCCTCCCCATGCTGTGCTGCCCAGTGCAGTAGTCTGGGAGCTGACCTTGTTCGTGAAGACAGAGGCATCTTTATTAATGATCGATGGGATGGACTGCACCCTCAGCAAGTTTGCAGATGGCACTAAAATGGGGGGAGAGGTATATATGCTGGAAGGTAGAGATAGGGTCCAGAGTGACCTAGACAAATTGGAGGATTGGGCCAAAAGAAATCTGATGAGGTTCAATAAGGACAAGTGCAGAGTCCTGCATTTAGGACGGAAGAATCCCATGCACTGCTACAGCCTGGGGACTGACTGGCTAAGCAGTTCTGCAGAAAAGGACCTAGGAGTTACAGTGGATGAGAATCTGGATATGAATCAGCAGTGTGCCCTTGTTGCCAAGAAGGCCAACGGCATATTGGGCTGCATTAGTAGGAGCATTGCCAGCAGATCAAGGGATGTGATTATTCCCCTCTATTCGGCACTGGTGAGGCCACACCTGGAGTATTGTGTCCAGTTTTGGTCCCGCCACTACATAAAGGATGTGGACAGATTGAAGAGAGTCCAGCGGAGGGCAATGAAAATGATTAGGGGGTTGGGGCACATGACTTAGGAGGAGAGGCTGAGGGAACTGGGCTCATTTAGTCTGCAGAAGAGAAAAGAGTGAGGGGGGATTTGATAGCAGCCTTCCCACAGGGGGGTTCCAAAGAGGATGGAGTTAGGCTGTTCTCAGTGGTTGCAGATGACAGAACAAGGAGCAATGTTCTCAAGTTACAGCAGGGGAGGTCCATGTTGGATATTAGGAAACACTGTTTCACTAGAAGGGTGGTAACGCGCTGAAATGGGTTACCTAGGGAGGTGGTGGAGTCTCCGTCCTTAGAGGTTTTTAAGGCCTGGCTTGACAAAATTGGGGTTGGTCCTGCTTTGAGCAGGGGGTTGGACTAGATGCCCTCCTGAGGTCTCTTCCGACCCGGACCTTCTATGATTCTATGCTGAGCGGTGTCACTGCTATTCTGATCTGGCTCCTCTTTGTCTGTCTTAGATGTTTCCTTGGGCGGTCGCTCTAAACCGGAAACTGCCCTCTTACACGTGGATTCGAAGGATCCCAGCTGGAATCAGAGAGCTGTCCCTCTCCCAGGGGACACCGAGGGCTCCTGCACCTGCCAGACCTGGATTCGTGCTTCCTTCTCTCAGAGCTGCCCCTCCCTGAAGAATCGGCAGCAGCAGACTCTGACCCATACCACGCTGAAGGATCCTGTGCCGGGGCTTAACTCCCCGGAGCTGCTCTGCTTTTCCTTTGGGCTTGGGGAGGAGAAGGAGCCTGATGACTGTGAGGACTGCTCCACCTGCCCCAGTGCCCTCCACACAGACAGCAGGGATCCTGCAGGGGCCCAGCTGCACCCCGTTGGTGGGGGAAGCCTGATCAGCAGCAGCTCCAGCACACTCAGAAGCCCTAAATCGTCAGGAGTCGACATAAATGCTGCCAAGATGCACGACTCGAGACCAGTGTCCCACAAGCCAACAGCCCTGGGACTGCGAGGGGGAGGGGGTAAATGAGGGGAGGAGGGCAGGAGGGGGCAGTCGGGACAGTGATTGGGGAGAGGGCAGGGGACTGAACAGCAGCTTGCCAGCGCAGGGTTAGGGGCAGGTGAGTGGAGCCCCTCTCTCAGCACTGGGGAGGCCAATGTCCGTGTGAGCAGGTCAGGCTGGACAGGCTCAGCAGCAGGGGACCAATGGGTGAGACTAGTCAGGAGAGGGTTAAACTAGCTACAGAGGGGGTGGGCTAGGGGGGCAGACACTTGGCAACCCTCCGCCCTGTCGCTTAGTCTTGGGGCAGGGCCCCCAGGAACCCAGGTGTCCAGGGCAGGATGGAAATTAGTTCTTATTGCTGCTGTCTCAGTGCTGGGAGCCAGGAGGGATTGGGGGGAGGGCATTAGGAGGGGCTGGGCACACTCCTGGGTGAGGACCAATGTCACAGGCCAGTATCACTGACACAGGGAAATCAGGGGACTGGTGAGTGAAAATCTTGTCAGGAAGGGCAGAGCAGGGCCGGGGGCAGGAAGTCCATCAGAGAGACCCCCACAAGCCAGGGACAGTTCAGCAGTGCCAGGCACGGAACGTTTATGGATCATCACCATGCTAACAGACAGCACAATCAGGGGCCTGGCTACAGCCCCCACACTGGGGACTCAGCAGGAAGAACAGCTCTTTACACATATATCGATAGCGTGCAGGAGAACCTGCCTGACCCTGGGAGCTCCAACTGGCAGCAATGGTCTCAAGTTGCGGGGGGGGAGGTCTAGGTTGGATATTAGGAAAAACTATTTCACTAGGAGGGTGCTGAAGCACTGAAATGGGTTACCTAGGGAGGTGGTGGAATCTCCATACCTAGAGGTATTTAAGGCCTGGCTTGACGAAGCCCTGGCTGGGATGATTTGGTGGGTGCTGGTCCTGCCATGAGCAGGGGGTTGGACTAGATGACCTCCTGAGCTCTCTTCCAACCCTCATCGTCTATAACATGTGCTGTGATTTCTGCTGCCAGGAGTGAGGTAGCCCTGGAGCTTCTGCACGTTACAGGGGCTGATTCTCTAACTAACTCTCCAACCCAAGTCAATGTCAGACCCTCCTCCTGAGGAGTGAAGAAGAATCTGACCTTACCTAAACTCACTCTAGAAAAAAGACAAAATGAACAATGAAGGCTCACCAGTGAGCAGCTTCTCCCCAGGGCTGGGTGAATGCAGCGCTGCCTGCTCGTGTGACTTAACTGTGCATCTCATGATAGTGGGTGGTTTTATTAAAGCCCGAGCTCCTGGGATTAGGGGAGTCTTCGCTCTTTTTTAAAAGTAATAAGAGCAGCAGTGAAAACCCTGAAAATTTGTCCCCGAAAGGCTCAAACCAGAAAGCAAATAAAAATAATCTCCAATGCGTAGACTGGTAGACTGTCGGTCCTTCATCAGTTCAGACTGAGCCGATCACAACACATCTTCCAATCTTCTCTCGCTCTTGTCATCCTTCGCCATGCTAGTCCATATCTCCTTGATAGGAAATCCAGTTTCCTTTTGACGACCTGGCACCTGAGATTCTTTGCAGCCTCTCGTCGTTCGAATGCCTCACTGCCTCCGGAGTGGCGATCGAGGAACGTGCAGAGAACCGAGACTTGGTTTTCCATGTTGTTTTAGCCATTGTTTTCAGCCACCCGCTGGCTGGGTTGTCAGTGGCGCATTAACCTCTCCAATTTAGCTAGTTTACAGCCTCAGAAAGAGGGATTATACGCCCCTCCACAGAGGAAGCAACCCCCTCGCTGGGCTGACAGTCTGACACCTTGACAGCATGGTTAGACCTGCTGGAGAATGCACTCCGCTACCATCGCTGTCGAACAGCCAGGGTTACCGCTGCACCACACTGAGGCATTGAAGTAGGATTTGCAGCAGAATCTCCAATATTATTCCCAAAATACTCATGACACTTAAGATAAGGCAAACTCAGCATTTTGTGGGCCTGACTTGTGATGTTTGAACACTTGGGGCTGTCGATATTGGGATTCCCCATCACTCGGTGTCTGGGCATTGAGCCAAGACATCTCAGAGCCCTGTTCTAGCTCTAGGGTCTGACAGCGTCACTATTGTAGCCGGGAGGAACAAACCCCTCCACGCAGGAATTGCTGGGTACGATTCTCTGGCCTGGGTGACCAGAAGGCCAGACTAGTCGTGTCTGATGGGACCTTCTGGCCTTTGCCCCTCTGATGCTCTGCCTGGGAAATGACCACACATGAAGGGCGGGGGGTCCTCCGAAGCAGCTGCAAGTGGGACTGGTAGCAGAAATCTGGAGTGTTTGGGGAGGGAACAGCATGACAGTCCCATTCTGGAGGGTGTCAAAAAAGTTTTTCACGTGAAAACCTCCATCCTGCAGCCCCTCGCTCCCGTGTTCACACTGACTCTTATGAGAAAATGCCCCTCTGGGCCTTCCGTCCCCTCCCCCCGCTCACACTGACACCACCATCCCCGATGTGGATCCCTGTGTCCCTTCCACCTGCTTACATCAACACGCCCCTCTCTGTGTCCGTGGGCCAGGCCTTGCCTTGCACTCACCCTTGTTGTGGTTGTAGAGCTCACGCAGGGCGTTCAGACTCGCATTGAACCAGGCCTGCCAGCGCCGTGCACGCCAGGTCTGCTCATCCCAGTGCTGTGGGTCCACGTTCCGAGCCATCCATTCTGTGTGTGGCTCCACCCTCCGCTTCTCGCTGGTGTAGTCCACGAAGAGCTGATCATCCACGTAGCCGACAGCGCTGTACCAGGGCAGCCCTGGGCCAGGCTCCGACACCACTGTGTTGTATATGCGCGTGGAGTGCAGGCCTAAGGGAGGGGAAAATTCGGGAGGGGGGGGGGTCAGATCGAAGCTCCTGACAATATGAGAAGTAGCACCAGGCCTCAGGAATGCTCCTGTGCGAGGGAGACCTGGGGATGGGCCCACACAACAGCCTGTCCAGGGAGAAAGAGGGGTCAGGGTAGGAGGTGAAAGCCGGGGGGGGGTCAGGGCTGGAGAGGGGCAGAGAAAGTACGGGATGGCTGGAGTGTGTGTGAGGAGTAGGGGAGCAGACAGGGAGAGTGTATTGGGGGTACAGGGGCTAAAGGAAATGAGAAGAAGGAAAGTGGGCCCAGGAGAAAGGGCAGGGCTGGAAGTGGGGGTGAGGAGCAGGAGTGGGATGTTATGGGGGAGTGTGAAGTAGGAGAAGGGCTGGGGGGCAGAAGCTGAAGCTGGGGGGTGGGGGGGGTTAGGGGGAAGTGTCCAAGCTGCAGGTGAGAACCAGGGCCCCAGCTGTTTACATAATTTACTATAATTTATTAAGAACATAAGAATGGCCATACTGAATCAGATCAAAGGTCTGTCTAGCCCAGCATCCTGCCTTCCAACAGTGGCCAGTGCCAGGTGCTTCAGAGGGAATGAACATCAAATGAACACCCTGTCACCCATTCCCAGCCTCTGGCAAACACAGGCTAGGGACACCATCCCTGCCCATCTTGGCTAATAGCTCGCAGCTCCTGGCCATTGCAGTCTGAAGTCACAGAGACTGCTGGAAGTCATGAATTCCATGACTTCTGTGGCCTCTGTGAAAAAACCATAGCTTTAGTCATGATTTTATATACCGTTATCATAACCCCCCTTAGTTCTCTCTTTTCTAAGCTGAAAAGTTCCAGTTTTATTAATCTCTCCTCATACGGCAACCGTTCCTTACCCCAGTCATTTTTGTTGCCCTTTTCTGAACCCTTTCCAATTCCAATATATCTTTTTTGAGATGGGGCTATACGGGGAGACTTTGGCAAACCAGTAAAGTGCCTTAAACCTCTATGGCTTATTGCTAAAAGCAGCCAAGTCAGCAGGCTGTAAATTAGCCAAGTCAGCAGGTTTAGCTTAACCAGGGGGAGGGGCGGGGGGTTGTGTGCCACAGAGAGGGTAGCTTGACCCCGTGTCCTTCCTGATAAGAACTGTGTAGTAGTTGCTGATACATGCAACTTAGAACAGCAGGATGTGCCCCAGGAATGGGCCTCAAGGCTGCAAACTCTGGAAAAACCCGCACCTGGTTAATCGATAATCAGAAGGAGCCTCTTGCTTGCCCATTGGAACGGCTTGCTTTATTTAAGGGACACGTCATTCTATTACTAATGAATAAATAAGGGGGAAAAGTTTGAGGTGGTGGGACTCTTCAGGACTGGACTCTCCCTCTGGCTGCATCTTGTGTTCCCCACTAGCAGACGGGCTGCCGCTGTGCCACTCGAGAGCCACACTCAGCTTCGGCTGCCGCTGTGCCACTCGAGAGCCACACTCAGCTTCGGTAATTATCGAGGGTTGGGAGTGTTTTACTAACCTGTTGCGGATGTGTGTAAGTGCATGAGACTAAGTAAAGTTTAGCTTTAAGTGAAAGCATTCTTGTGTTGTCCTGTTTGTGCCGCCATCTATTGGTTGGATGGCCATGTCTCCCCTGATTTATTTCCTGACACCACCTCACACAGAGTAAAAGTTACCAAGAGCTTTGGGTTGAAAGAACCCCGGGTAACAGGGCAACCACATCTGTATGCAGTATTCAAGGTGTGCTTCGGACTTAACTTAACTTATTCATGCTGTGGCTGCACCCTAGGTCCCCTGTTGGGACCAGGCCCCCTGTTGTGCCAGTCACTGCATAGGCCCTGCCCCATGGAGCTCACAGGCTGATCACCTGTCCCTACAGTGGGGTTCACCTCACAGATCCACAGGCAGGATCAGGGCCAAAGCGGGGGGTGGGGAGGGGCTGCAGCCACTGAACCCCTGATCCCTTCACTCCAGTGAGCATCACACTGACATCAGACACGGCTCAGGGGAGTTACACACATATCTGGGGTTTGGGACCTGGGGATCAGGCTGACACAGGCTGGTGCCTTGTTTGGTCCTGTCAATTCCTCAGTGTCTCAGGGGATATTTAGTCTCAGACCTGGCAGACCCTCAGTGTGGACCCTCACTCACTCACACAGCCCCCGTGGAGCCCTCACTCACCCGAGTAATTGTAAGCGGGGGAATGGTCCCGCTATTGTGGGAACTTTCCTAGATTCTGCACTACCCCACTGAAATGGGCTACTGAAAGGATCTGAGTCCTCGCTCCCACTTCCTTTACCCAGAGGCCTCCCTGCCCTTGAGGACTCCCCTTCCACTCTCCTACCTGGCAGAGTCCTCGTAACCCCAACAAGGCTGGGCCCAGGATTCCTGGGGAGCTCGACCCCCAACCCTGCTGTGGTCACCTAGGACAGGGGTTAGTACTCTGGGGTACTCTCTCTGCACTGGGCAAGTCCCTGACCCACTGATCATTACAGACAAGTTAAAGCAAATATAAGCTATTTAATCGACAATTAATTTAAAAAAGAATAAGGAAAAATGGGAAAGGTTAAAGAAAAACACATCACCCTGCTCTGTGGCAGGGAACATCACAAACAGTGCCTCTGGAACATCAGGGCACTTCACAGTCTGTTCCTTGCAAGTCCCAGGTCTCCTTCTCAGGCCCTGGCTGTGCTGCAGGGATGCTGAGGGTTGCACACTTGCTCTGGTGGTGGCCACACATCTCCAGACTTTGGGCGGTGGGACCCTTCTTCCCAGCATCAGCCCCCTCCCAGTCTGGCCTGCAAGGATCCTTGGCTGGGGGTGTCTTTCTGTGCTGTGCCCCTGTGCCCATGGTCCCCCCTTGGCTAGCCCCAGTTGCTCACCATACATGGCTCTAGCTCCAGCCCCAGCCCCACTGTTCTAGCTCCAGCTCCACTCCACCTCAGCACTGATGCTGCTGCTCTGCCTCCAGCCCCCTGGGCTGCTTCTCCGGCCCCTCTGGCTCCGTGGCTGCAGCCCTGCTCCCAGCACAGATCTGCTCTCCCTGGGCTGTGTCTCTGGCTCCATGGCTGCAGCCCTGCTCCCAGCAAAGGATCTGCTCTCCCTGGGCTGTGTCTCTGGCTCCATGGCTGCAGCTCTCCCCCCAGGACAGATCTGCTCTCCCTGGGCTGTGTCTCTGGCTCCATGGCTGCAGCCCTGCTCCCAGCACAGATCTGCTCTCCCTGGGCTGTCTCTCTGGCTCCATGGCTGCAGCCCTGCTCCCAGCACAGATCTGCTCTCCCTGGGCTGTGTCTCTGGCTCCATGGCTGCAGCCCTGCTCCCAGCACAGGATCTGCTCTCCCTGGGCTGTGTCTCTGGCTCCGTGGCTGCAGCCCTGCTCCCAGCACAGGATCTGCTCTCCCTGGGCTGTGTCTCTGGCTCCATAGCTGCAGCCCTGCTCCCAGCACAGGATCTGCTCTCCCTGGGCTGTGTCTCTGGCTCCATGGCTGCAGCTCTCCCCCCAGGACAGATCTGCTCTGAGGGCTGTTTCTGTGACACTGCTCCCAGCTCGGACCTGCTTCCTGGGCTGCTTTTCTGGCCCCTCTGGCTGGCTCTGCTCCCCAGCTCAGCTTGGGCCCCTGCTCTCTCCTTGGCTCAGTCCCACTCCATTGGACCCAGGCAATTCCAGCTCACAGGGAGGATGGGACCCCCGGCCTCCTGACTCCCTGATTAGCCTGCCCGCCCTGTCAATTAGGCTGACCTGGAGCATTGGCCTCTCCCCATTGACCCTGGGGACTGTCAGTTTCAGGGTCTTGATTTCCCATTGACCCTCCCCCTTTTGGTACTGGGAGCTAGCAACGAAAATCCCCCCACTGAATGTTAGTAAGAGGGCTGCTCAAATCCAGTCTCCCCAGCAGGCAGAGGGGGCCTGAAACCAGGAGTTTCTCACACCCTAGGCAATATCCAAACCACTAGGCTCCTCCCACACTGTTGTGTGAGTCCATGTGTGGGTTCGATCCAGCAAGCAGCCTGAGCACCCTCACCGCATCGGGCCCGCAGACAAGGGCGGAGGACATCTGTCATCTCTGGGCCCATGCAACACTCTGGGGCCCAGGCATCCAGGAGCCTAGCAGGAGGCTGCAGGGCACAGGAACACAGGTCCCGAGGGAACTGTTAATGCACAAATGTAGGTGCCAAGTGAGTTCAGGGACCTACCGTGCTCAGCAGCAGCTGAGTGGGAGATTCTGTGAAGCAGGGTCATGATTCTGGGATTTAGGCACCTTAGCCCCTTTATGGACCTAGCTCGGGAGCAACAGGAACAGCATGGAGCAGAGTCTGATCCCGCTCCTGCCTCTCAGAGGCTGGGCTCCCTCCCTCTGACACTGCCCTGCAGTGGCCTCTCCCCTCCCACTCGCCTGGGGTCAGACCATGGTGGGACAGAGGCTTCTCCTCTCCTGTTGCTGCTGCTTCCAGCCCCTCCCTCTCTCCTCCTCACTCCATCTCTTCTTTTGCCCAGCCCTGCACCTAATTTCTCTGTTCTCCCCTCCACGCTGCTGTCATCTGCCACCCACCCAGCTCCTCCCCTCGTCAGCCCTCTCTGGTCCCCACCACGGATCTCCCTTCCAGCCTCCCACACTCGTCCTCCATAACTTCAGCTTCTAAGGTGATGGCCCATCTGACCCTCTGTTCCCCATTTCCAGGATCAGCTGGAAAGCAAAAGGCTGAGGAGGAGGCCAGGTGACAATGTTTGCCAGGAACAAGAACAAAAGACTAAGGAGGGGGCCTCTCAGAGATAAGTGTGGGCTGTTGGAGGGAGGAGAAGCTTCTGGATTGGAACTAAAGAGAGAGCTCTTGGTCCTGGACAGACCCAGATGGACTTTGCTGTCACTTTCTGTTCTCTATGTTAACTAAGGATGTTCTACACTGTGCTCTAGTGACCTAATAAACCCTCCTGTTTTTACAACACTGGCTGAGAGTCACTCCAGAGTCAGGAAGTCAGAGGGAGCCTTTCCCAGGAGTCTAGTTCAGG